CTGCTGCCCAGTATAGGTAACCGCCGCGACCCCTCCCTGCCCTGCCCCGCCCCTCTCCCCCCCCGGGCCCGCAGCCCCCTCTCCCCTCGCCGCCGCCGGCACCGCGTCCCTGGCTGGGATCTCCCCGCCCCTCGGGGTAATGGTTCGGGACTGCCGCCATCCCCGCCCCGTGCGGGGGCCTCTTCTGCACCCCGCTCCCCGGGGTGGTTGTTCCTGGGACCCTTCTGCTTGTCTGCCCCGCCCGCGGGTCTCTTCGCTTATCCTGGTAAGGGCCTCCCTGTATCCCCAGTGGTGTGAGGGTGGGGAGGTGGAGCTGGGCACCACGGAGGAGGAGAATCAGCGGCAGCATCAGGTCCCAAGGCCCTTAAATTAAAATGGCCACTTGCAGTCAACACCACCATCGAGTTACCGTCAGCCACCCCTAGGCACTTCTCCTCCTCTGCCTTCAGGGAAGACTGGGCTTGCTCCCTAAGTGTTTGCCTCCACTTTTGTTGGTGTGAGAGGACAGAATCCTTTTTAACATAGGCTAGAATCCAAACTATGTGAGGCTGCATGGATGAGGGAAGAGCTGAAGCACCAGAAAATACAGAGGACTTCATTCCATTGAGGCAATGTTATAATTCTTGTATCTAAGAAAGTAGAAGATATACTTTCAGGGCCAAGCACCTTTTAAAAATATTTCCTACTTTGACATCTAAGACTAGGAGCAGATTTTCGAGTGGAGCTCGGAGACCTGTAACTGTACATCTTAGAGCTTGTATAGACACACTGCTATAAGTCTATATATCTTTGAACATTTTGTGTGTTCAAATTGTGTATGAGAGTGTTAAAAAGTAATTGGTAGCATCTATTATATCATGTTTTCTGAAAGCAGGTTACTTAGTTTGGCAAAAAACGGGTATAATCAGGAACATCTGAACATTTTTGGTTTGTATTGGAGTAGCACCATAAAGTCCACCTTTGAATCTATGTTACTTGTTACATAAATCTGTAGTAAAGACCTTCCTTGACTCAGTCTTGGTTAACGGGAAAACCAGAGGAATAAAGCAAATAAATGAGGGGTTATTAACAAACAAATGCAGATGTGTGCTATTGTTAACCAGCTAATAAAAATTGCATACCTTACATAGTTTAAGGAATACACAGTTTTACGGAGGTCTTGGAATGACTCCCAATCTATTCTTTCTACCTGTTTTTTCCTGGAAATGGACATAAAGTACATTAAACTTAATTTACTCCAGCGTTTAATAGTTAAAGGAAAGGATTAAACTTAGCTCATCTTCTGGTTTTGGGGGGTTTTTTTTAAGATTAGGTGCTCACAGTATGTTTGTGTTTTACTTGACAGTTATAGTGAAATTTGAAACTGAGTTGTCCTGGGGTATGGAAAAGTTTCTAAATAGGATTTTCTTTATTTTCTTTGTAAGTAAACAAATAGTCTTTAAGGAAATAATAGACTGAGATCCGTATGTCTGCAGTTTTGAAGTGGAGATGAATTTTTAAAATTATTATTCCTTTTATTGTAGACCTGAGGTGGTCTCTAGACTTACAAACCTGAACAACGGTTTGAAATTCCCTTTTGAATTGCAATATAAAACAATATAATTGGAATAGCATTCAAGTTCAAAACCTGTTTTCATAGTTAATCCTAAATGTGTTCTTGAGAAAATGGAAAGAATGATCAAAAGAACCTTTTTTCTTTGCTTTTGCAAGTGCAAGATACTATTTGATTTGCTATTAGTAAAAGACTCTACATCCTATAAATGGTTTGTATATTTACCACATCTGAAAGTGAAAAGACACCATGATCAGCGTTAAAGCAGTCCTTTCATATGAAGGAATTTAATATTTTGAGCAGAAAACACAGGAGTCACTTAAAATGTCTTAAAGGGAGCTTATCTTCATGAAGCAGATTTGGCAGGTCCTAAGTAGTATGTTTACAGATTCCTACAGAACATATATTCCACTCCAGTATATCTGAGAAAGAGGTGGTGATGGCAGAGGAAGATAGTTTAGATTTAATATTGCAACAAGCCCTCTAAGATTGTTACCAGTATTTGAAGTAATGGTTTATAGAACGCTAAAATTCTTGTGTTCTTAGAAGCCAGTATAATAGATAAACACATGGATGTTTATCTGCAAAGTGAATACATATGTAAGCTTCATAAATCTACCAACACATTTTTTTCTAGCCACAGGACTAATCCATGGATTTTAAAAAAATTGCTCAAAACAGGAAGCTGGTTTAGGAGGTTAAATCAGACAGTTGAATTTGAACACCTCAGTTCTTTGATATATGCTGTTTAGAACGCCTCGTGCTGTAGTTTTTATAGCAAGTGACAAATTTTAATAATAAACACGTGATTGGTCGCACTTTTTGACGTTCTCTCTTGACAAAATGGCTATAAAAAATTCTAATGTACTGGGAGAACTTCAGGCTGCAACTTTAAGGGAATCTCAGTCACTGCTCCCTAATGATAATATATAGAATCCTTTGATTTCAGCGGTTAATTCAGCTAGGTGCAAAAATCTGTGCAGTTTTTTTTTAGGATATACACCTTTCTTGGAATATCTTGAAGAACGAAACTGTTAGATCTTCAGCTAGAGACATTCATAAAAACCTTTGCATCAGAAAGAAGAGAGTAAATAGTTTCTGATCAATCTCAGAGAGTAGAATAGAATATTTTCAGTTGGAAGGGACCTACAGCGATCATCTAGTCCAACAGCCTGACCACTCCAGGGCTCACCAAAAGCTAAAGCAGGTTGTTAAGGGCGCTGTCCAAGTGCCCCTTAAACACTGACAGGCTTGGGGCATCGACCACCTCTCCAGGAAGCCTGTTCCAGGGTTTGGCCACCCTCTCGGTAAAGAAATGCTTCCTCTTGTCCAGTCTAAACCTCCCCTGGCACAGCTTTGAACCATTCCCCCACGTCCTGTCCCTGGATCCCATGGAGCAGAGCTAAGCACCTCCCTCCCCACGTCCCCTCCTCAGGGAGCTGTAGAGAGCAATGAGGTCGCCCCTCAGCCTCCTTCCCTCCAACCTGGACGAGCCCAAAGTCCTCAGCCGCTCCTCACAGGACCTGCCTTCCCACCCTGTCACCAGCTGTGCTGCCCTCCTCTGGAGGCATTCAAGGGCCTTCACATCCTTCTTAACTTGTGGGGCCCAGACCTGCACAGGCTGCTCACACTGTGTTTGATGCCCCCTGGGATGAGGTTTGCCCTCTGGGCTGCCAGGGCACGCTGCTGGCTCACATTGAGCCTGCTGTCGCCCAGCACCCCCAGGACCCTTTCTGCGGGGCTGTTCTCCAGCCGCTCCTCTCCCAATTTATGCTTGTGCCAGCACTACTGCGTCCCAGGTGCCGAGCCCGGCATTTGTTCTTGTTCAATTTCCTCCCACTGATGATTGCCCAATGCTCCAGTCTGTCTCGATCCCTCTGCAAGGCCTCTTGTCCCCCAGGAGAGTCAACAGCACCTCCCAGTTTGGATCATCAGCAAACTTGCTAATGGTGCATTCAACCCCTGCATCCAGATGGTTGATAAATTCATTGGACAGAACTGGCCCTAGAATTGAGCCCTGAGGAACACCACTGGTGACTGGTCGCCAGCCAGACGTAGCCCTATTCACTACAACCCTTTGAGCCCTCCCGTGCAGCCAGTTCTTCACCCAGCGCACCATACACCCATTCATCCCACAGTTGGACAACTTGTCTAGAGGGATGCTGTGAGGGACACTGTCAAAAGCCTTACTAAATCCAGAACTACAACCACTGCCTTCCTTTCATTGACTAGGCGGGTGACCTTGTCATAGAAGGACATCACATTGGTTAAAACAAGACTTGCCCGTTGTGAACCCATGTTAACTGTGCTTGATGATTGCATAGTTCTTTAAATGCCTTCCAGTAGCACCCAGTAAGATCTTCTCCATAATTTTTCCACAGAGTTTAGACTAACAGGTCTGTAGTTTCCTGGGTCTTCTGACATAACCTTCATATAAACTGGAGTAACATTGGCTAGCTTCCAGTCAGCAGGCACCTCCCCAGGCTCCCAAGACCTTTGGTAGATGACCAGGAGGGGTCCTGCTGGAATATCCGCTAGCTCTTTAAGTACTCGGATGAATCCCATCAGGCCCCCTGGTGTTACGAACATTCAGCCAATGCAGCTGGTCCCTTACAATTTCAGTGTCCACAAATGGAAAGTCACTGTTGCCACAGTCATCATCCTCCCACTCAGAGGGCTGAAAGGAGAAAATCTGCTGTAGAAAGTGATACCTGAAAGGTGCTTGTAATAAGGGTGTTCTGTATTTCATTCTAGACTTGCTGGAAACCAGTTATAAACCCTGTTGGAATTCCAGCTTCTCAAAATGACAGTATTCTTATTTCCATTAATAGTAGTGAAGGGACAACATATTGGAACTATCGGGTTCAAAGAAATAGCTTCTTTAAATCAACAACTGAAAAGATGATGAAGGTGTTATTGGCATAGAAATCACTGTATCTTCCTGTGATTGTAGTTTATGTGTGGCCGTGGTGGACCACTTAAATACTCTCTCATCCTTCACATGAATGATAAATTAAAATTTGTCCAAGGAATATAGTCTTAACATTAAATACTGATATTTGAAGCAGTTATAAAGGCCAGATTGGTAGCTGCTCAGGTGTTAGATCTTGGATTTGGGAAATTAATGAGTAGTATGTGCAGCAGTTGTTAATGTATTTACTGTTGTAACAATGTAAGTAGTATAGTTCCCTGAATTGATGAGATAAGAAAGGGAATAGATGTCTGTCTTTATTAGTTCACAAATACTAGTTTTCATAAAACATGTTTGAAATCTGAACTCATTTCATATTTAATCAAAGGCAGCAAAAGAGCTAAGTGCCCTTTAAACCTGTAAATAATGGATTAGAAGCATTCTTGTTCCTTTCACTGTTGTCACTGCATAAAATTTCCTGCTGCCCTGCTCATTCAAAATTCTTTGTGTGCACTACCCAGTAATAATATCATGACTTAATGAGAGAAGCATTAAAATATGCACATAGCAATACAGGAAATTCCCTGAATATTGCAATACCTTCGTGCTTTCTGCTGGTGGTGGTATTAGGGCCTAAGGTTATAAACCTGCATGCAATGCAAACTTCATCTGGTACGTATTTAAATAACTGTATTAATCCCTGTCTTTAGGAGCCTGAAATAAATGTGGGATTTGGTGATAC